TTTTCAGACCCACTCTGATTGATTAAAAAAAGCCCAAGGCTAAATTTGAGAAGTGCCTTCAGATAAAGATTTACATTCTGAATTATGCTTAGGTTCTTAAAGATGACCTTAAAGTCATATATGAATTCAAATATCTAGATCTTAAAAAAAAATAGTGCAAACACTAAGTAGAAGCATAGCACAAGCATCCCCTGGTTTGACTATAATGATGGTGGATACTGGAAAATCTAATGATGGCAGAATCTAAGATAAATTAAATTAAAGTTTAGATTAAATAAAGTATTATGTAATATTTCATGAAATGTTCAAAGCTTAGTAATACTGAGTTCAGTAAACATAAGATCCAAACCAAAAGGTACTAGATAATATTTATTTGTGGGTAATTGCGTGACTGTTGCTGGTTTTAACATTGCCATTAAATTCAATCTAACATCTTTAGCAGAGATCTAGAAAGGAAAAAAAAAAAGTAATGGAATGGAATAAAATACTATGTGACAAATTAGCTGTTGGCACTATCCTTCATAATAACAAAATTATAAGCCAAGGAAATAATTAAATGAAGATACAAATGAAAATGAATGTTTTAAAGAATGGTCATAATATAGAGGAAAATTATATTCAACCAATTGTGCATGAAAATAGAATAAAAATAATTGTATTAAAATGGTCCTAAATTTTTCACCTATATGTTTATTAGAAAATAAAATAAATGCATACAGATAAACACACAAATACCTTTTGTTCTTAAATTTTTTTAATGTTTTGTTAGATTGGTGACCTATTGATTCAGTGATATAGATCAAAATTCTCCTGCCTTTTCATCCTGCCCAACTATAGTCTATGTCCAATTCTAAAACTTCTAAAAGGATTACATCAATTAATCTGGGCAGGGGATGGAAAACTTATTCTCTATCTTTTGGCATTCCGTGAGCATTAGTGTAACATGCAGATTATCTCTTTTATTTCTTGCTCTTGTGATTTAACTGGCCTGCCTCTTTTACTGAACATTCCTCTCTTTAGTGACATCCTTTATACTGTTTTATGTGTGGAAACTGTCACTTATAATATGCTTCATTCTCTTCTATCTACCGTTTTCCTTAGGATGGAGATTTTGTTATAGTACCTGACTCACATACTACAGTTTTAATAGTGAAAAGTTTGATTTCAGTGAAAGCATTGCATAATTTCTCAATACAATCCAACCCTCTCTCCTTCTGTTTTTCAATTCTGAATCCAATCTATTGTCCATTTATGTTGTCTATTCAAGATATAAGTACTCATGCTAATCAGATATAAACATTTGGTGAGCATAAGTCTTATTTTATACTATGCTTAATATTAATTGTAAGAAAGTAGTCAAAATTATTTCTGTTTTTGAATCTTTGAAACAATCTTGTATGATCTTAATACAATCTAAGAGAACTTTATGAGGGAAAAAAAAGCTTTGAAGTTTAAATTTTATTCTATCAAATTACATACTTTTTAACAGTAAACAATATATGAAATGAAATCTTTTATTATATACACTTCAGTGAATTGTGTTATTATTTAAGATCTTAAAAATAGAATATCATTTGCAAAACCTCCACATTCCTTTCCAATGCTTTCATCAAAAGTCCCATTGATGGATATATACAATTCTCTGATAAAGCACTGTGAATATGAGAAAGTATGTGTATGAGTATTAAATTATTAATATTGACTTGATTGCCTTTTTTTGGTGGCATAACACCCATAATATTTCCCCAACACTCTCACTTAGTTTTTTCCCTTTAATATAGCTTCAAAAAAGATCTCTCAGCACCCTCAAAATTTTGTCACTTAGCATAGAACACCTTTGTGTATATTGATTAAACTGTTTTTCTAGTGTTGTTTCTTTTAGCTCAGTTTCCATTTCCTCATACAATGCTTTTGGCATTATTATTTTAGAATCCAAAAATAGCAATTCCACTGACACTGGCAGGGAAATTTTTTTAGAAAATTTGGCATGTGGTTTCTATTTTTCATCTCTATCCCACCTTTTGGATCAGAGATTGTCCGGAAAGCCCATATGTTGGCAGAAGGCCACATCCTCCTCTTCTGTTTCAAGCTCTTTTGGAGGACCTCCAAAAGGTGGGCTACTCATCTATTGGTTGTCCTTCCAGTTTCACAATTCAATATTCTTGGAAGGATCTGGCTTAAATGAGTATCACAAGGAGCTCCCTATAAGCTCATTTTCCTTTTATCATTTCTGTTTTATAATTAATATTATTAATAATCTTCTAACACCATCCTTTATATTTCACAAGTGATTTATATTCTGAGCTGATTGTTGCCCTTATTTGTAGTATCCTGCTCAAGATCAAGTGTTACCTGGATTGGCCTTCTCATTGTGTTTATTGATTTTCACTGGTTAAAATAATGTAGGAAATGGGTAATAGTTTATGTTGAGGGTTGATTTTTTTTTGTTAATTTCACATTTTTTTCTGAGTCAATTAGTAACTTAAGTAATATAGTCTGGAAGTATTTTGATTACAAGTGCTATCTTCTCATTTTTCTTCTTCCTTCTAATTGGGTCTTCATTTTGGTCAATGATCTAGCTGCATAGAGAGCTGATTGAGAAATGATTTTCGTATTGCTGTTTAGTTGTTTTCTTTCAGTTATAGTCAATTTCACTTTTTTTTGGTAATGTTATTTGGTTCCCATTATGGACAATCTATCCCAATTCCCCTTTTAAAGAAAGCATTTGTGATATCTAGGCATTGGGTTCATGTGTGTCATATAATATGTTCATAATGAGCAAATAGTTTGTCCTTTAATCTGGCAGCTAAAATAATAATATTTGGTGCCAGGGGTTATGTTTATAATAAACATATTAGGTGTACTTGAATAACATACATAAATACAATCCCATTCCTATGGTTCATGTGAAATAAAGATTGCAGCAAATGTAGATGCATATAAGAAAGAAAACTTTTTTCAGTTAGAGCTATTCAAAAGTAAAATAGCCTTACCAGAAGGTAGTGAGTTGATCAGAATTAGAAGTTTTTAAGCAGAGGTTGACAGGTATATGTTGTGGAAAGAATGCTTGTTCAGCTACAAGGAGGACTAGATGACTTAGCTAGACCAATCATGATATTTCATTCATGATTCACTCCTTTCTAGCTAAGCAGATTAAGTCACAAGATACTGGGATCTTAGATATATTTACTTTTTAAATACATTTATATTGATAAATTTTGTATTTACAAAACTTAAATTTCTTCCTGAATCTGTCCACCTATCCTGTACTGCAGAGCTATTTAAATTAATTTTTAAAAAAATTAAAAGGAAAAAGGAAAGGAAATAAAATGAGAAGGGGATAGTCATTAAAACTGATCACTACATCAGAAAAACATGACTCTACATACAATTTTGACTGTTGACTGCTGATCTTTGTAAATAAATAAGGGGAAGTGTCTTCTCAATTCTTTTCTTAAGATCATAGATTTATACTATGAATCTAGTCTTAGCAGTCCTTATTTTATCGATGAAGAAATTGATGCTGAGAGAGGTAAAATAATTTGCATTAGGCCACACAGATAGTTGGTGACAGAGTTGAGATCTGAACTGAGATCTCTTGACTCCAAAGCTAGTTTATTATCCATGATCTCCCTAATCCGTCTTTCCCATGATAGCACTTCAAATATTTGCTAATAATTATTATCTTCCCTTTAATTCTTCTCTTTTCTATACTGACCATCCCTAGTTGTTTCCACTTACCAGAAGAAATTCTAGGTTGTCAAGTTTCCTACTTAAAATGGGGCACTAAAATCTGAGTAAATCTGTAGTTTGAGAATATATATTGGGGAATAGTGTGAATTAGGACTGAAAAATGTAGATTACAGGTTATGAAGAACCTTAAAAGCCATACTAAAGACATTACATTCATAAAACATGTCTTCTGAGTAGGCACATCCCATCCCCACCCTCCTTTTTAGTTCCCTTTTAAAGAAACATTTAGTTCCCTTTTGTTTTTCCCTACTAAAATATAAGTTCTTTGAAGGCAGAGACAACCATTTTTGTTTGAATTTGTGTTTTCAGAGTCTAGTAGGGTGCCTGGAACATACTAAACACTTAAATGCTTCTTGTCTATCTGTAACCACCAATGGAGAGTCATAGAAACTTAGGAGGTGTGAAATATCATTATCGTATAGGTAATTAGGAAGTTTGATCTGAAAATGGTGTGTAAAATACATTAAAGGAGTAGGGACTGGAATCACAGAGACTGTTTAGGAGGACTTATCAATTTGGCAACTTATAAAATCTTATCAGTTTCATTTTGTCAGATTTTTCCCATCATTCTAGCCTTTTGAGATCTTCTTGGATTCCAGTTCTGTCATTCAACAGATTGGCTATCAGTCCCAGCTTTGTATCATCTACTAATTTGACAAGTGAACCATCTGTGTTGCTATTCAAGTTATTGATAAAAAGTGTTCAATAGAAAAGGGTAGGGGACAAAGCCCTGAGGCAGGCTTCTCATAAACATAAAGTACAATTTTTTCTTTGCTTTCAGTTGCTCAACCCACTATGGACCCACTCAATTACAGTATACAGGCTTCTTCTTGTTATTGCTATTGTTTTTAATCCTGGAGTTTTTATCTTATTTTAATGCATGTTAGTTCTCTGATTACAACTCCAGTGTTTCCTTTACTAAATATTAAATGGAAGTCCACTTGATGCTTCATCATTTAAATGCTCTGTGTGTTCTCCCTGCATATGGAAACTCATCATTCTGTATATAATTTGAAACATAATCTTTCATTTATTTTTAGGATTCTGTTGCCCTGGGTGCATCTATACATCAGTTACCATTACCAGGTTTTCATTTTTGCTCATTTCTGAAGGATTCACTTTCAAGGATTATATTTTAATGAGGGCAAAAATTATTATAGGCTGCTTTTTCCCTTCTCTTTCTGAAGTACCTGCCTTAGCTAAATAAAAAAAAGCAGAATTTATGCTGAGATATTTTCTCTCTGCAGGAAAATATAATGGAAGTTATCAGAAATCAAGAGTTTTTACTCCTCCCAGCTGAGGAGCTCCATAAGCTGCTGGCCAGTGATGATGTGAATGTTCCTGATGAAGAAACCATCTTCCATGCTTTGATGATGTGGGTTAAGTATGACACACAGAGGAGATGCAGTGACCTAAGCATGCTTCTTGCCTTTATAAGACTGCCACTGCTTCCACCTCAGGTAATTTGATGACTGTCTTAATTGATATGCAAAATTTCATGGTCAACAGTTAACATTTTACTCAAATGTTAATAATCCATTATCCAAATATATTAGTTCATAATCCATTAATTCAATTTTTCTTGCAATTAATTTTTATTGTCTGAATATATATTTAGCTAGCATCACCTGGAGTCACATTATCATTCTGTGACTGATATAATATATTCTGTTTGTCCTCTGTTTCCCTCTGGGGTTCATTTTCTGCATTTCAACCACTTGTAGAGAAAATTTATTTATTTTTTCCTGATTAGAAGGGAGATACAGAAATAGTAAATTCTCCAAATGCAAACTGTTTCATAGTCTATATAGTCTATATCTTTTTTCTGGATAAGAAGTCAGGAAGTAGATAATCAGGAAATAGAATAGTAACATACAGTTTTGAAAAATTTAATTATAGTTTGATCTATAGAATTTGTTTAAAAACAGTTAATAAAGGCATATTAATAATATTGGTAAGGGCTTTATTTGACAATGTTCTAAGTAAAGAAAGCTTTGGAAATAAAAAAAAATTATATTACCTTGCAAATACAAATTTTTAAACATCTTCATTACTTTTATAGGCAAAGAAACATATATGGTCACCCAAACCACTATATCTCCTAGTTTTCATGTCAAGTAAAGTTGTCATAAATTGGTGGATAGCTGTAGCCAAAGAGAATATGTCTTGCAATGTTCCCCAGTATGAGTAAGTGATACAATCTAGGTACTTCCTCCATGCAACTGAAAGAACTTCATGATTGCCAGGACACATCAATATGAAAGAATCTTATTCAAGAATAGGAGAAACTAGCCTACCATTTTCATCTCTTGTTAGACAAAGGTACATTTATAATCTCAATGGATCTTCCTTGATTGTGGTTTTCCCAGCCTTTCAGTGTGGAGGGGAAGGGTCCTTCAAAATGAGCTTTTTAGGGTTTTGTTGTATCCAGGAAGAATTGTTTTTTGTTTGTTTTTAGCTTTTGGGACTACAGATTATAGTTGTTCCTGGTTGAAAATGTCTTTACCCTTGACTTAAGGAAAAATTGAAAGGTTTCTTAGTAAAGATAAAATTTTTTCATTTCTTTTCTGTGTGTTACAAAAGTAGGTGGACTTCTAATAATTTAAAGTTTGATATGATAGTAAATATGGATAATAAATAAGATAAAAATTCAGGTGCATTTTCCATGACCAGTAATGTAGAAGGGAGCTTATATTGTGGGCAAATTTGTGTGAATGGTTGGGATAGAAAAGTAGAAATTATTAGGAATATTAAAATTTTCTGATCCAGTAAGAGTATTAAAAAGCTACTGGATTTATGTGACAATAAGATGTAATTATGCAGGATTTTTTTTTCCTTATATGTGGAGAGAATAATTATAAGTATTCCATATTAAAGTCATGAAAGTTTAATCTTGATAATGTGAAAAAGAAGAAAAAAATGAGATATATTAAATAAAATGGATTTGGGGAGAGGTGGAATCAAAGCAAAACAGGAGACATGAACATTATGACCATAGGAATGATAGAATTTAGGGTAGAATCTCAAATAGCTTTCAGATCACAATGATACTCCTGTCTTTAAAAATCATTGGCCAGTTCACCTAACAATCTTAGAAAAAAATTCAATTATAATCATTTTTTCAGCTTTATCTCCTCATATATTTAGTCAGGATATCTGCAGATGATTAATCTTAAAGGGTACGTAATAACTTTCAATATTCTCTACATATTATAATTGGTCATGTATTTCACACAACCTTGAGAACTAGTGATATAAAAAAGGAAAAATGTGGTATTGCTCATAATTAGATAAAAAAAGTTGATTTCAGGAGAATATATGATAACCAAAGAAGAAATAAAAAAGGGAAAGTCATTAGTGACTATTTTTCACTCTTCATATGGGACAGCTGATATTGAAGAGTAGTTGTTTGACTTTACTATAGAAACAAATCGACAAAATTGCAGAATGGAAGGAAAAGGATAATTGAACTGATGATATAGGAAAAGAAAAATGATTCCTATTAACATTAAAAATAAGTGATGTATAGAATTTGACTTAATATCTTCCTTGCACTGCTTGGCTACTCTAGATTTCCAAATCTTAACTGGATTGTGTGAAACTGTGTCCATAATTGCCATTTCAGAAAGTATTACAGTGTCTGGAATTGTATTCCTAATGGATGCCAGGTCATACATATTTGTCTCCCATGAGATCCATTGGAATAGCTTATGTAATTTTCTAGTTTCCATTCTATCAACAGAATGATGGAAAAAGGCATGATGGCTCAGTCAGATTAATAATATATGACAAATTCAAAAGTTATGACTTTTAATTCTCTTCATTGCATTTAGTGATTTGCATGACACTTATCTGTTCCTCAGTTTTTATCTTGAGATCTATTAACATTATATAAATGGATTAAAATCATGTTACCTATTCTTCTTATAAACAAAAAATGAGAATAAAACAGAATGTGAACGTACTAATCATATGCTATATGTATATATATGTATATATGTGTGTGTGTATAAACATGTCTGTAAACATGCATATGATAAAAGATGCTCAGAGAAAGGTAATCTGATCACACTCAGAGACTGACAGGAATAGCATGGACAAATTGATAGACTTTACTTTGATATGATTCTTGAAATTTGGTAAGATTTCTCTCTTTTGAAAAGACAACATGGATTCCTGAGTGCTATTATGGTTAAATAGATTTAGAAATGAATGACAGATTCCTTGAGTGTTGACTAACAGATATTGCCAACCTTGAAGGAAGATTCTAACAAAGTACTACAGGTCTCTATAAATGACCCTATTAAATTCTACAGTATCAACAACTTGAATTAAAATGCAAATGGTATGCTTATCAAATTTACAAATGACATGATTTTCAGATGGGAGTGCTGACATGTAGGATAATATGAGTACCAAAACAATAAAGAAAGAATATAAATCCTTTTTAAAAGCAAATACATTGAATGAGGTCCAATCTCATATTTATTAAAAAAAAAAAAAACATTTGCTCACTGTGACCTATTTTGTCAGTCTTGTTACACATTGTTCCCCATCATCCACTCTACATTCTAGCCAAATTGGTACACTTGGTGTCCCCTATAAATCATTCTATTAGCGATGCCTTTCCACATGCTATCTCCCATGCCTGGGCCTCCACTTCTTGGAACCCCAGCTCTTGTCAAGCCTCATCTTTAGTGCCACCTCCTACTTAAAGTTTTTTTTTTTCCTCAGATTTCCTAATTATTATTACTTTCAAAAGTAGTATTTTGTGTATTGACTTAACTGAGTATGTGCTATCCCAAACCCCAAGTAGAATGGATATTCCTTGAGGGAAATAACTGTTTCGTTTTTATCTTTGTATGACTGGTATCTGTCATAGTACCTGGTGTTTAATAAATGTTTTTTTTTAAATGAACTGACATCACACAAAAAAAAAGAAAAAAAAAGGAAAAACATTTGCACAAGTGTGAAATTGATAAAATGTCACTAGAAATGAAAAAAAAAAAAAACAGCCATTTTAATTCCTTGCAAATTCAGTAAGAGTGAACAATGTGATTGAGAGAATAACTAAGGTGCTTTAGGGTGCATTATAATAAATACAGTGTTATAACAGAAGAAGTTATAGTTCCACTTCTGATTTCCATGGTCAAATCATTGTGTGTCTCATGTCAATAACTACCTACTATGCATGTACAAGCTTGAAAACTTGGAGGCTTCTATTAAAATTTTGTATTTCTAACACTTCTTTTTTTTTTAAGTTTTGCATTCCAAATTCTCTTCCTCCCCTACTCCTTGAGGCAAACAATATCAATTATACATGTGAAATCATGTAAAACATATTTCCATATTAGCCATATTGCAAAAAAAAAGCAAGAAAAGTAGAGAAAGTGAAAAAAATTGTTTTTTAATTTGCACTCAGAGTTCATCAGTTCTCTCTCTGGAATTGAATAGCACTTATCATCATAAGTCTTTTGAAATTGGAGTCTTATCTCTTCCCTCTCCCTCACCCTGTATGACCAAGAAATTGTTAAGTACTCTTGAAGTTTTCATCTCACTCCTTCGCTCGACCTTACCCTTCCAGCTTTCAGGGTTAGCATTAGGATTAGTTCAAATCCTCATCCCCTTACCTAGCTTGATGCTGCCGATGCCTAACCAGTCTCCCCAAACACATTCTCTATCCTATCCAAAATATAACTGGCTCCACCTAGATAACCATATAATGAAGTTCTTCAACTTACTTAAAAGTCATTCAAAACGGCCTGTAAGCTTTCCCTTCCCCTTCCAGGCTTCAGCACTCTTCAGGGAAATAGATGGTGGTAGTAGGGAGTGGAGCCAAAGATCTTTTGGTTTTAAAAGGCTCTTTGGCAACTCAGTGTTTCAGAGATCAGGTTAGCATCCAATGCAGCATCAGTGCCCAGAAATATGAAAAGAATTAACACCACCACCTACCCACCTTGTTATCCTGTCATTTTTGAGTCTAGGCCCTGAGAAACAAGGAGTAACTTTTGGGAGTGACTTAATCCAGAGGTAGCTGAGAAGCAGACTTATCTGTCAGTCATGCTGCATCTGAATATGAGACTGGTGGGACCAGAGTCATGTAGGAACTGTGCTAAGTGTTGAACATCTCAAAGGCAGAGATTGAGGTGGTATATGTGGATTATGCCCCACTCCCCAAAGTATTAGGGGAAATATTTTTATGTTTTATTTCTCTTGCAATACTTTTAAAGTGAAAACTGAGTGGCAAGTGCTTAAATGGAACTGGAAGTGTGAGTCACAGGCCCCTCAAAGATAGGGGCTTGAGCTGATATGGAGAAAAGAACACCCACAAAATCCTCAGGATACCTAATAACCCTAAGGGGAAGATAGTTTAGCAGGCCTGGCCTTCAGAGAGTAGAGGCAGAGGCGTCACATAGTAAACTCTGCTTGAAATATTTTGAATCAATGGCAAAAAAAAAAA